AACGCAATAACGCCTTTTTACATGAGATACGTGCTTTCGACATTTGTAATTTGGCAGATACGCTTTGTTGGCATTAGAGGGAAGTAGGCGAGTAGTTAATCGACAATGTTAAGGCGAAGAAGCATCTTTGGGCGAAATATTTCATATTTGTTGGAACGATGATAAGTATGAAGTATAAGGAGAAGCGGTGATTTTATGAAAAATTTCTTGGCCAATATCAGTATGTTGTAAAAACATTTTCCTGCGAGAAAATTAAAAATTCCAAAAATAATTTAGTGGAATAACGAATGAAATAAATAGTGAAGATCTTTTGAGATAATCTAATAGAAGTTTTAGTTTTTATCATCAATTGACTAATAAATTAATTAGTTATAGCTGTATGGATGAATGATTAATTGTAAAATAATCGATAATGTAATTCTTATTGAAGTCTTTTTTTTTTTTTGGCTAATTAAAATCATTGATTAATAGTTGCATTAATATTTGTAATATTGGAAATAAATTAATCTTAGTGAATGGTTGCAAGCTTTTCACCGGTAAGAACTTTTTCTTTCCTTTTTTGTTTTTTAACCGATATATTCTCTCTTACTGTCGCGCTGCCCCGTGCTAATCGTTTTATTTGAGTAATAAAATGATACTGGTACGCATAAGATCTCTCCTTAATTTATATTTTAGATGCCTTGATATGCATGAAATAATATTTATATAATGTTGTTTACTATCCTCTTTATATCTATATTAAAAAAATAAAATAAAATAAAAAAAAAACAAAAAAAAAACCTCTATAAAAGTCTATAATAGCCTGAAATACTGTACTTTTATATACTAATATACATCAATAAATATAAGTAAATAAATAAAAAGTGACGGTTGTTCTGTAATCATTGCTATTAAAAGTTTCAATTGAATACATAGATAATTGAAGATGATTAAAATAACTTAATAATATCATGTTGGATTAAAAATATATATGGTCGCGGAATAATTAATACAATGCTACTCTATTATTCTCGTTTCTAACAATTTCCCTCATTAATTCGTAAATACAATATTTTAATTTTTTATATCTCATAAAATATATGCTCTTAAATGTAAATAATAAATTGTTCAGAATTTGATAAAAGCCAATCATAAAGTATCATCGTAAAGTAAAAGTATCGATTTTCTTTAAAGTTTAAATTACCGAATAATACTCTCTTAAGCGATATTTAAAACGTTCGTCGTTTTTCAAAACTTTTTAATAAATACCATTATATTTTGTTTAGTGATGGTAACTAAGAAGTTCGTGACCTAATCGATAGCACTTTTGCCTAGTATGTGTAGAGGCCATTGTTATAATTGAATGTTCAAGGAACTTTGCATAAAATTTAGAATATTCAAGCTATGAAGGTCATACAAATGTAGAGGTGAATTGTAGAAGTTGTTTATATCCAATGTATGTTGAATAATCAAGATTGTCATGAAACTTACGTATTTCATTGAAATAAAATGGAAAATCTCCAGTAACGGAACAATTGAGACGAGACTTTAAGAAGGACGTCCATCTATTTCGAAAGCGGTGAGGTCCGCCCCGATCGTATTTGCAAACTCTCGCAACTCGAGAATACACCGCCTGAAACAAATACATTAATAAGCTTTTCTCATATTAAATAAAATAAAAATAAATAGCAAATAGTAGTAGCCTTATCGAGCTTACCTTAAGTAAACCCGTATAAATCTTTTAAATAGGACTTTTCCTCCGTAGGTATTACGAAATTACCATAATATTAGACACAATGACGTAATTTTAAGAGGAAGAAGTACTGTATAAAACTAACTCTACTCTATGAAAATCAAAATTAAAAAAAGGATTTAAAAATTAGTCACCTTTAAGAAATATATTGTTATCTTAATAGAACAAAGACGAAAAAATAAAAATGAAATGCAAGAACCACACGTCCAACTTCTATATTCGCGCGTACTTTACATAATTTTGTGATTCTGCACGGCCATTTTTCTGGCTGTCGCGCGATACATGCATTAAAAAATTCTCCTTTAATTTGAATTTTCGCGAGTAAAGCAACGTATAACCGCACTTATGAATACAAATGATTAATGCAAATGAAACAAACCTTGCCGCAATTGATGTACTCGACTGCGGTTTCCCTGAAGAAGAAGTACACGAAATCTCCTTGCGTCATAGAACTCACAAAATTTGGCGCTGCGAAGGAACATACAGAAATTAGATTGCAAAAAAAAAAAAAAATAATAATAATAATAATAATAATAACTTTATTGGTTTAATTAAAATTGCCATAAACCGATAGTTTATATACAGAGTGCACATTAAGTTGGTATTTGTATTAGGACAAAATTTTAGCAGAGGATATTATCATTCTTATGACTACTCGTTAATGGATATTTATTATTAGTGTTAGTGGAAAATTATCGTAATGTTATAGTTTACATTAGTGCATAAAACTGGCACGAAGTAATCTATTATTTAAAATTTCACGTTCAAGCATAAAATAGCAATAAAAAATATTATTATATTACGATGGAAAATCTTTTCGTTTAAACGATAATTATATAATTATCGTTAAAAGTTTTAATTAAAATTATTATTTGCAATTTAGTAACGGCGTTTTAATTTAGTTAGAGATCGACCTTAATTACAATTCGAAAATATTGATTTATAAACCTTTTTTTATTAAGAAAATGTGGTCTGAATTGTTATTTATATAACAGGTACACTTGATAATAAATGTAAAAAAAAAAAAAAAAAACTAACCATATTAAGTTTAAATCATAACTTTAATGTAACGAATAACGCCATTTAATTTTATCCTAATTAAATGCACTTTAATGCAATCTCGTCATTTTCATTAATTTATATGTGAAATTGAAAAAGATGCTTTATTTTGAGTTAAATAGATGGTAAGATTGATTTCTATGATATGCATTTTATTTTCAATAAAGCTTATTTTACCCTGTAAAAAAGTTTTATTATGATATAAACTGTTACAAGACGATGGCTTAATCAAATTAAAGAAAACGATGTATAACTATTTTTTATTATGAAATGTGCGCTTAATTTATTACTCTTCCAAGGAACAGGAGATAAATAGTATCCTGATTCGATACACATATGGCGGCACTATACATTTTCATTTAAATAATGTCAATTTGCTAATAGATACCATTTTATTCTGATCAAGATTTCTTATCTTGCAATCCCAGCTCAATATTAATTTAATATGTTTGAAAAAAAAAAAAAAAAAAAAAAAAAAAAAAAAAAAAAAAAAAATTAAAATGAAATTACGAAGTAAGCAGTATTTAGGATCCATGATGGCTATAAAATCAATTATATTTTAAAAAGTTTACCAAAAAATGACTATTGCACAAGATTTTTCTTTCATATTTTCAAATATGTGTGTTAAAATCATTTTTGTAACAATAAAATGAATTGTATAAAATCTATAAAAATATTGCATAAATAAAGAATTGTATAATGCATTATCAGAGATTTATTTATGCGTTCGAATGTTTCAGTTCGTCAATCATTTACAAATGATCAAAATCACTGTAAAGAACACGAAAATAACTTTGCAATCAAATTAATAGTTTTTTTATGATAATTTTTTTTTTTTTTTTTTTATATGAATACTAAATAATAAAGCGTTAATAAGAAACGAATACAATAAAAACTTTTATAATAAAGTGAAAATATATAAACGCTGGAAAAGACTTTTCATAGAATCTGTGTCTCTTAATGTCAAGTAGAGGAAAATCGAATATTATGGTTTTAATAATCATGATAATTCTGTCCCATGGGAATACTAATTGCCATACCTATCTATCTCTAAGGTAATAAAGTAATCTCTTTAAATGAAAAATTTGAAAGAACTATTGTTAATTAAACGACGAAATAAAGTTAAATTAACATTAAAATCGAATGTTGGTATACAAATTTTGTGAATTTGTAAAAACTACTTTGATGTTGAAAAACATTGAAATAAATATTCAATATTATTATCAAGCTTGAATACATCGGTAATAGATAAAGATAAAAAGAGAGAATAAGGTGTCGGGGGTATCGAATCAGAATTGAAAAGTGGATAAAAGTATCTTGGTAGTTTCTGCGATTAAAAAGTGAACGGGATCGTTAATCCAGTGTTTAAGAAACTTTTCCTATTAGACATTCTCAAGAATCATTCTCGATTGACGCTAATTGGTGACTAGTGGTAATTAATGTATAGTAGAGGAGAGAAAAAGGCGTTGAACTTGGAGACAAAAAAATGTATTTATGAAAGGAAGAAAAGCTATTTATCTTTGTTAAATTTCAGAAATTTCAAATAATAAAAGTAATAAATACTTTCATCGTGAAGATAATTTTTCATTGTTCATCATTAATTAGGTTTCTTATGGATCGCAAATTATCTTTTTAAAGCGGTTAATTCTGAAAGGTGTCCAAAATAATTCATTGGAAGATATTATAATTCGATCGTTTTAACAATTTCAAAAAATCAGGTGATTATTATTATTATTTAAGTAGAAATCGTATAAATAATAATTTATTTTATGTTGTGATGACCAGTGATTGCGACGTTTCTCGTGAATAAATTCTTGAGAACTTAACTGACTAGTTAGAATTTAGTTAAAAATATTCCACTCGTTTATGAATAAACATTATTTCTTAATGCGCATACGCTAACAATTTCCGAATTCTATATAAATAAATACATCGAGAAATTGAAAAAACTTGATGTATTCAATAAATTCAATAAACGACGGTTTATTATGTATTTCTACTGCCTAGCAAACATGTAATAAAATATCTTGCAAAATATGTGTAAACATATGCTCCTTTATCGAATTTATACTATTGTGCTAAGCATTCATGTCTATTCTACTTATATTTATCATGATAATTAATCATGATATTCTCTCCTCGCATTCTCGGTTTATAACTGTGGCATTATTCTAAGAGCTTTTGAAAATCACCAAAGCATTGTTCCGTTCTGTAACATACTAAAGCTAAATTGAACATACTTTAAATTAAAAAATATAAATACTTATATATTAACTATCGATATCAAATGCTTCTGTTGAATGTTCTAAATAATAATAATAATAATAATAATAATAATAATAATGATAATGATAATAATGATAATAATAATAAGAGAATAAGTCATATATATTGCTAGAATTAAACGTAATTAATACAAGCCATTAAATTATTCATATAATACAAATTTATTATAAAATCGAATTAAAATAGAATATAATTTTAACAGACTTTGCCAATGTCGTTAATTATCTTTTCTACACCGGGGCAAATAAATCTCGTAGAATTACATAAATAAATTATTTTAAAATATATGAAATATAAAGATTAATTATATTAAGAAATTACGTATATTTACATGAAGACAAAATTTAGTCCTACAAGTCACTATTTAAATTAGCAGTAAATATTACCGTGAATATAAAAAATGTGGTGCGTTGTATTATTTCAGAAAATATTACCCATGTCACAGTAAATTTTAACACGTTATACAGTAAAATTTATCCGCTATTATACATAATACTCCATAGCCCATTTTGAGAAAAAGAATTTTATATAAGTTTATAGGTCGAATGATAAACGAAAGAGGAACACTTATAGTTGCGTAATTATACGTTGTAAGATAAATTACAAGATATTACAGTGCGAGATGATAAAACTCTGCTATGATATATTATATGATTAATAACAATATAAAGCATTAGATGTACTGCTTGAAATCAACGTAAAAAACAATAAAACATCTTTAAAAATGTAAAAATATGTTATTTTTGTTGACTAACACATAATGTTTGAAGACAATGATACTTCATTATAAATATAAGCACAGCATAGAAATTATTAATTTAAACTGACTATTGTTTTGGGTAACAGAAATAAAAACAATAGTAAATAATTAAATAAATAAATAATATATCGTTAGTTTGTTAAAAGAAAAATTATTGTTCATAAGTTATTTTTAGTTAAAAACATGGTATGAATATTTTTGCATAAGTTATTTATTTTCGTAGTATTCCACAATTACAAAAATGACAAATGCCACAATTATTATATTATTTTATACATATACATTGTTGCCTTATATTGTATGAGATGAACTTAGATGAACTTATATTACCTGCTAAAAAGGCAATGAACAATTTTTCTCTGATTTTGATAGGCAGGCGCAGTATAAGTTCATAATGTAATTTCAAATATTTTGTAAAATACATATTCTTGATTCGGAAAGTTTATGAGGCAGGAGACTACCATAATCGAGAGCTTTAATGAGCATCGTCGAGGAATTAAATTTTTAATATTTCTGAATTACTCATAGCCTCCAAACTAATTAAACATTTAAACTATCATAAATGACGAGACAATAATCACGTACGTAATGCATTATCGATAAATTCATTATATCAAAAATAATATAATATATTCATTTTTTCGTTTAGCTTAAATATTGTTATAAAGACATACTTTTATCCAACTAACCGTAATTATAACCGTAACTCTTATTTTGAAAATACTATTTAATTTTTATTTTCCATAAGAATTGCTGATTATTATAAAGGTAAATTTTTTTTTTGTAATTACAGCTTCGATATATCAATAGTCAGCCGATAATCTAACCATTTTACGATAAAATTTTTTTAATAAATTTCATTCTATCAAAATAAATATTGAAATTTGTTTCAAAATGAAAATCTTGGCTCTTTAATTCTCCCTGGTTCAAAAGAAAAAAGAATGAAAAAGAAAAAAAACTTTTTTAAATCTCTTCCGTAAGTCGACTGCCTAAATGTATGCTTCACTAAGTTATAATATTTCGACTTAAATTTTTCATTGAAGAACATGCTGCCCCGAACGTGAAATCGGGAATTCTAATTTATCTCCTAAAGTATATTCTACATAGTAGATAAAGCGTTTCTATCTAAGACTATTTTGTATTTCAAATTTGACTTTTATTCGTATTTTATTCAGGTTTACCATTACTTAAGAAACATAATTTATGTATTCAACCACTTCACTTTTTTGACCGTTTAAACTTTCTCAATTTTATGGCACATTTTATATATATTTTTAATGTAATAGTAATTATGAATGAAATGAAAAACCAATATTGATTAATTTTAGAAATTTTATAGTACAACATTTTATAAAAATATAATTTATCCAACCCATTTTAAGATAGGAGACATAATTTTTTTTTTCTTAATTATTATTAACAAGTGGTGTGCTTACATTTGAAATGTTGTTATTCGATGTTTTATGTTGAAAATATATTCGAGATAAATAATTTACTATTACTACATATCTGACAGATATATATGGTACCGTCTCCCAGAATTCAATTTCCCGAATTGCTTTTGCTCTACGTTCATTTTATTTGCAAATGCGTGTTACTCCACTATTCAGTTGCTTGTATATAATTATAAATGTTTTTAACACAATAATAAGTTCAATGGCCAAACAACATGTAATATTCAATAATAACAAAAATAAAAAAACTTTGTTAATTTCAATGGAGAATATTAATGAATATGTACTACATAAAATAACCGACGAGATCGTTTCAAATTACATTCGATTTGTTAAAATTCATTTAGCGGAGATTCATCGAATAGGAGATTTTGGTTCTTTAAATGGAAATAGTAGAGTGAATCATTGTACATATTTCATCGTCTTTGACCCTTTCCTGTATCGCTATAATATTATATACATTTATTGATTATCCATTCAATTATTTTATAGTAATATTATTACCAATTCATATAGGATTTTGAAAATGTACTTTTTTTTTTTTTAGTGTGAATATCGTCTAGAATCGAAAATGGAATATTATAAGTAAGAGTACAATGAATTATTTCGACAATATTGACTGTATGACAAAACTAGAATCAGGCATTTTTTTGATAATGTTGAATGATAAATACAACACCAATAAAGTAATATAATAAATTTCATTGCTCGAATAATATAATCGAAAAAAATAATTTTAATCCAAATAATAAACAGGGGGGACTTTGCAAAGAAAGAGGAACTTATCGCCAAATGGCTGATTATCCGTGCTTTTTCATTGCCGATAGACGATTTATGAAAGTTTAAGGACTCACCATTGAGACTCATAGAGTCGTATTGCTCGGTCTGAAGCGGCTCCCTATAGATGATTGGATCCATGCCCGTGAAGTCGGCGACGGTGCCCGTGAACAGCTCACCGTCCACGTAGACGTAAGTGCTGTTGTGCTGGGGATCGTAGGGGCAGAGGGCTTTGGCTAATTTCTCGCTCGTCATCGTGTAGTTGCCCGGATGCACGTCGTAATTACGGCACATCGGCTTGAAGGCATTGGTACCGCACACGAGTAAACTGCTACCTCCGCTTTTCGCCAGGATGCGAATATAATTCTGGCAGTTTTCGTCGTCCTTGCCTTTTACCTGGCACATCTTCACATCCATGTCCGGCGAGTACCAAGTGAGGCGTTGTTGCTCCGTCAAGTCCGTCAGACTGAGATTGTGCACGAGGTTCCTGCGGGAAGGAGGAGAAAAGGATCGTCGTAAGCTCGGTGGGCAGGCATTTGAGATGGAAAAGCTACTATGCATGCCTGTGTATGTTCGCTTGTACTTTGAATTTTCAGGAGCATCGGTCGAGGTACACATTACGATACAATATACGTCAAATGAGATTTTAATTCTGAATAATTATTACCTACTAAGAGCTATTATTGCTAAAAACACTGAATTCTCTATTAAGGTGGATTCGAGCTCATATTAATAAAATACTAATAAATAAAGTATCTATAAAATAATCATTTTACGATTAAATATCGAGACCAATACTTTTTTCACTTTCAAAATTGTAAATTAACATTTTTTCATAAACCACAATGAAAGCTAAGTACTTCCCTACTCATTATATTCATTATGGGGAGATGTTAAGTGCAGCTCTGCGAACATTATGCAAATTTTTTGCAATCTCTTCCCTTTCTTGCATTCTGAAATCCACACATAGTCTGCGAATAAAATTTTATATGTTTAATTGACGGTTAAATAAATAAAAACATCTCGCTATATCGAAACGTGTAAGTCAAGCTTCTTCTACGGTGTGCGATTCGCCAAAAGTATTCTGGTAATTTCGCAATCGATATTAATTGAATGTTGATTAATCTATGAAATCCTCCATTTATTGGCTTTTATTTTATTTTTGTCAATTTATAACAGTAATTTTATGTATTTAATTATATTACTAGAATATGAAAATTTATTGTTGGATAAAATGAGTTACCATTAAAATAAGCAAGCAATATGACTTATAATAAAAATTTCTATAGCTATTTATAAAAAAAAGTATTTAAATTTAAGAACTTTAAAAATTATATATTTGCATGATTATAAACATATATAGTTGTTTTACATGAAAACATTAAAAACTAATTTTATCAATATGCATTGCTAGATAATGTTATTGAAATTATACTTTTCATTTTCTTTTGTATTGAACAATAAAAAAAAAATGTAAATTTATGAAAATTTCCATAATAAATTTCTTTCTATTATTTTAAATTATTTATACGTTCAATTCCCGTATTATTATAAACGTTAATATTTTAAAATTTTTATTACAACTATTTTCTCTCTTAAAAGCATTATATTAGAACATTTTTTTAATAAAGAAGTTTTATGAATAATATCATTTTCCATTTAAAAACTTCAATAAAAAATTTTTATAAATATTTTGCAATTTTAGAAGAACGGTCTTTTAAGAAGTTTATCATAACTTTTGTCATTTTTTTTGTTTTTGTTTGTTACTTACATAAATTTGATATATATATATATATATATATATATATATATATATATAAGGAATTTGTTTATATATTTACATTACATTACATTTTTTTTATATAATTTTTAATATCTTACTGTTTTGTAAATGCAAAAAACCATACTTGCCAATATAACGCATATAATACATACCATCTACAATGATTCTTTAAAATGTAAAAATAGGTAGACTAATTAAAGAATAAAAGCAGAAATGAATAAATTAAAGAAAAGAATGAAAATATCGAATAAACGCATAGAAAATAATATCTTGAAAAGAAAAAAAAAAACTGTAAATGAAACGTCTTTTTTTGTCTCTATTTTGTAATTAAACGTATAAGTGCCACTTATATAATCCATTACATACATTAAGTGCGATTTAAATAATTGGTTTTAAAGTTTTATAACAACTTTTTCATCACAAAATCACAAAAATATAATTAGTTCTTTTTATAAATATTTTCATAAATTTTCTACGAATAATTCTCAACTACTACAATAAAGTTTATGTATCAGTCTCGTATATTAATAGAATTGTTGTTTTTTTACATACTTTATCGTACCCTTGAGTAATCGAATTTTTATTAGACTTATCTAGACTTTCTTATAGAATATGCACTTTCTTTTATAAAATTAAATGAAAATTTACATGTGAATGGAGGAACGAATGTATCACCTTTATAAGGATCTTTTCGTACACGCAAAAGTAGAATTCTTTTGAAAATTGACGCTAAAATATTTGAAATTTCTCATAACCAATATGACAATGGAATAGATAAAAATAATTAAAATTTCAATTATCGCGTAAATCATTAAATAAACGTATATTAAATACATAAAAAGTTATCAAAAAATTAGATTCGATTTTATGAAATTAAATAGCTTTATTAAATTATTAGCACAAATTATGAGTACGACAGATAATCCCCCCCCCCCTCCCAAAAAAAAAGCACGCAAAGAACGCATAGCTCATAAACATTTACTTGCATTGTATTTATCAGTTTTAAAAATTAACGTGGCGCAAAAAAATGCGATAAAGGAACGTAATGTGTAACAATAACGAATACAAAGTCTCTTTAACGTGATAAAACCATGCCGAACCTAATGGGATTCTATTCCTAAAGCGCAACAAACTGCGTTCATTCGCTTGTTCATTCATCTCGCCGGACAAACTCTACACACGAGCCTCCATTTTCCAAGCGGCAATGGTTCAACTCGGACAGACGGCGAAGGTAACAAAAGAGGCGCATCGCATCATTCCGACTCCTATACTCGCGCATCTCAACTACATTCTACCGAGCAATGGAATAATTGAGAGGCGAAGCCGCGCTATTTTCTCCTCACGAGCCCTTTGACGATTTAATCAGATTCGTTTGTTAGTCGCGACAGGGAGAAAGTGCCGTTCGCAGAGCTTTAATTATACGTTCGGTTCGCGAGACTGTTGATACTGCGTTATTGAACGATTGCGAAATCGGAAATGATTATATGATATTGAGCTTTTAATTGATTGATAGTTTGCTACGGATTGCTCTTGTTCTTTTAATAGACAGGTGTTTAATCAATCTAGTGAGCTATCTATCAGGGTGCCATGTTTATACGAATGCATGTGCACTCGTCCGATTTATCCATTACTCAGCTGCAATCGATTATTTTTATAAGTAAACGCATTTATGTTAAACAACATTGCTTACAATTACAAGTTACACTCTTTCGGGAGATGTGTTCTCTCTCTCTCTCTCTCTCTCTCTCTCTCTCTCTCTCCCTCACTCTCTCTCTATTCTGTTTCATTATTTTTTTCCTTTCCCGTTTCTTTTTCACCCAAAGATCCTCAAATGATTTTATTACGCATTTCATTCGCTTATAATGCCATACGAAGAATAATACAAAACGAGAATATTACAATGAGCAAATTGCCATTTACCTAGTTCATCTAACTTTTAATTACATTTATAAAAACTTTATTTATTCGAAAAACTAACCGGTTTAATGTATTAGTAAGCCGAAGCGTTTGAATTATGAAAGTTATATTAAATAAATAATGGAATATTGTGACAGAAACAAAATGTCAAAAATACCTTGCGGAATTACTTTGAAACGTAAACTTTTGATAAAAGTACGTTGGCTATTTTATTGAAAGAAGTATCTCAGGAAGTAAGGCCGGCGATAAATTTCATAAAAGTTTACCATAATTTATGTATATTCATACTTTTATACAAATTAATATAATTTATCGAACGAAAATACAGTTTCATTATATTTATCCTTCAGTCTAACTTATTATATTATTACATTGAATTGTTTTGCCGAGCTTTAATTATTTTATTCGACTATAACTATCGAAAGCTGAATTTCAACTAGTAGAGCCCGTATAATAGAAATTACATTATAACAAATGAAGTATAAAATAAACTCGTATCGTGATCCAATGATACAAATTCATCAAAGCTCGGGGTTATTAATATTATTTTTTTTTTTTTTTTAACACAAATAACATTAACAATTAAATGAAATATGCTTAACCCAGATATTCGATTTTTGCTTGATAAAAATAATGAATTTTTTATTCGCCATTGGTATGTTTAACTCTTATTTTAAATCCAAATATTTAGATTTAAATATGTTTTTCAGCAAATATGTATCCCTACCGCGTTCCTCAATTCCCCGATTGTAAAATTTTGCTAAAACTCAATGCACTCAATTAATGCTGCTTTATCATTGTGCTTCATAATTATATGTAAACAATTTTTCAATTACAATTATTCACATTTTAGCATGAAATGCACGATGACCTTGTAATAATGCATAACATTTCTTTCAATTCTATTCTAATAATCCTTCAATAGAAATTGATTATTTTCTCCATTCATAATGAATTGCTCGTACTTAAATGATATATCAGCATCAGAATTGCGTTATTGATCTATTGCACTTCATTAATACTATTAGATATTGATTTGTAATAGTTAACATTTAAACGTAGCCTCGGACAAACGCATATCTGCAATCTACATAAAATAATTTTGCAAAATAATAATTAACTTTGTTAAATTGCTCATTTCTAAATAGACTGCCGTAGTAATTATAAATATCATTTTCTCGACCGTATCCCCTTATCAAAGGAACCTAATATTCCTCGTGCATTGATAGTTAGTTGCCTTTCCATTTAGAGTGACATTCATCGATATGAATAATAAAAATAAATGTTAATTGTTACCGACCATAAACACGTATCAACGCATACGCATCTGCGAATTTCCCTATCAAACATATCCAACTTGTAATTAACAATTAATATAATACAATCAATGGTATTTCACCGTACTACCCATTGGTTCTGATATCACCACTATGATTGCACAATAATTTCTCACTCTTTCTCTCTCTCACACGCGCTCGCGCCCACCCACCCCCACACCAACACACAAAATACACATATATATTTACAAATATAGATTAATTGTAACATACCCTTCGTATTTGTTAAAGTTTGCAATTTAGTTTGCAAGAACATAGAGCAGAAGTGAGTGAGATAGAAGAGAGAGAGAGAGAGAGAGAGAGAGAGAGAGAACGAACGGGAGATTAACAATTTTCTCTTCCCCACAAGTTATTGAATATTGCTAAGAAAGTCTCACTCAGATGATTATAGATCTATTACTACTACTACTACTACTACTACTACTACTACTACTACTACTACTACTTTGTAATTGAGATATTACTTGATTTTATCATAGTCACATGGCAAGGTGCAATCTTATCCCACCGTACCTTTCAATTTGTAATTTATTTTGAATATATTTTTCATTCGATTGATCCTCTACTGGATGCCGCGGTTGATGAATACATGATTAAGCTCTGATATACATGTAATGATAGTGTAATATATGCCCCTATGTCATAAATGTCATTGAAATGAATGTGTGCACGCAAGTCACTTACATTCTTAATTGCTTCAAGAGCGATCATTTCCTGCACAATTCAACATGATATACGCACTCTATTTCAACAACATGTTTTTCCATTAATACGCTTTCATTTCTCTTATTAAGATCATTATTCTGCAATAACGAGGACATTTTTCAATAATAAAGTTGCATTGGAATTTATTTCGCTATCAATTTTGAATGTATAGAATTTTGTAAGGACATTTGAAATATTATATTCTTAGAATTTGTCATTATTTTTCAAATTCATTATCTATTATAATAAAAATTTTTATTTTAAAGTAATTATATGCAAAGCCACACTTGCTCAAATTCGTACAATTTAGGCTTATAAGATCGCACCATAAGATCTGAAGTTTAAAATTACAATAAATATCATCTTCCGAATGACAAAATATATTTAATAATTTAAGCTTCATTTATTATCAACGTAATTGATAATAATCAACATTGATGCATCTCTCTTTTTTTCTTTCTAATTATACTAATTAGTATTTTGAGTGTGCCAAAATTAACGTAATAAAATCGTTTTTATTAATATATAATTATTATTGCAGTTTTAATTTTAATTAATCTCTTATATTGTAAATGCAAATGGTAAAGTACATTAAATAATGAAATTTAATAATGATATACAAAATCCTTGATATAAAACACTTTTTAATATAATTATATTAATTAACATTACGCTTAATAATTATTATAATAACTTATACAATTAATTACTTTTTTAAGCTGTTAGCGATATTATATTAATATATTATATTTCAAATGTAAGGTTTATGCATCACAATAAGAGTAACAATTCTACTAGAGTAAACGTCTACAATTTATGTTTTATAATTTAATATATATTTTATCATACTAATTATGATTTACATGTAATTACACGTAATATCAAGTACATATTTTACTTATAACAATATAGGATAAAGTAGTTACGAAACAAGTAAAAGGAACCGACGTTATCAATCTCTTTTTTTTTTTTTTTTTTTTTCAAGATTCCTTAAAAAGTTCGACAACAACGACTCGACAGAAGAAAACGAAGGAAGAAAAAACAAAAGTATGACATAAATATTTCTGCACAAGTAAAAGGAATACATAATAATTTTAAAATTTACGAACATTCTTATCATTTTGTGTATAATCTCTAAAAAAAGAAAAAAGAAAAAAGAAAAAAAAAGGCAATGAAAGCCTACGATTTTCACTTGCCGTAAAATCTCGTCTTAATATCTACGCATAAGCGTGTGTCGTAAGCGTGCACACATAAGTGTATTCGTATAAGCGTGTGTCCGTGTTAAAATTTTAAAATTTACCTTCCGCCGACCAATAGGTAGCTGCTGTCTCTGAGCATGAGCCGAAAGTAGTCTGTGTGCGTCTCGTTACCAGTGAACCTGAATACATCTTCCGCGCCTGGGAACAAAAAAGCAAAAGATGGAAGAATGAAAAAACAGTTTTGTTACTTATTTTAAAAAGTGGAATTACTCTTCTCCGTATAATTAGCCTTTGTTTCTCTTTTTCCTGCTTAAAAAGTCTGTAACTTTCTTCCCTTACTTCCTTTTCTTTTTTTCGAGGTTATTTTATGCGGGGGAACAGCGTAGCCCTGATAAGAATTCCGAAGAGGTTGAAAAGAAAAAGGAAGGAGAAATGAGTTAATAATAAGTAACAACTTTTCGCCGAGATTGAAGAAGAGATGAAAGATCAAGTTAGAGAGTGGCGGGGAGAGAGAGAGAGAGACGAGAATGAGTTATTGAAAGCTTTATTTGTGTACTATGGAGGATTGCAGCAATTTTAAGGTATATGGGAGGAAAAGTATGGATGCACCTTGAGCCATTTTTCTTAATAAATGTATATTCAGATAATTAAGATGTATTTTAAAGATTTATGATTTATCAAACTTTCAAATTATATCATACTGCTTTATCAGTACAAATTTATATATATATATATATATATATATAGATATTTGTTTATTTTTTATTTTTGTATATTAATTATTTTATCTGTGATATAGTTGATTAGTTGGTTTAATTATCTTACGATTACAGTATTATTGACAATAATTTTACAGTAAATAACATTAATAAACAATTATCTACTTATATTATCTTTAAAATTTTAATAGTTTTTTTTAGTATAATTATAATATGTAATACGTAACATTGATTAACTTATAGACATCAAATACATTTTCGAAAAGAAAAAAAAAACTATAAAAATTTCTGGATGAAAAGTTTCATACAATTTGAATAATGATAATCGTCATTTATTCGGATCAAATAAAATTCGAAATTAGTAACTAATGATATTAGCAATAATAATACTATTTTAAGCATAACACACAAATGTCAATATTGAAATTCAATATCGATTTATCAGCTTAACATCAATTACTTCATTTCAATGTTAAATTTATCTTTAAATCTTACAATATAAATAATATGCTTATATTGAGTAATTATATATACATATTATATTATCAATTTAAATGTGTATTTATAAAAATATTTTCAATGTATTTGTAATAACTATAGTTATTAAGTGATGATGGCGAATATACACAAGATTAAATTGACGACTGATTCATTGTATGAAATATCGGGATATAGAGAAGACAATTAACATATCAATATTTATATTAGACTATGATGAATAATAAATATAATAATAAGAATAATTTATATTAATAATTTCTTGTTAAATAAATGAATAATCTTGTACTTGATAATTACCTATTAAAAATTTTTTAAATATATATATATATATATATATATTTGAAAAAAATCATCTGTTATGTAGACGTGAATGAAATTACTTCATTAAATAAATAAATATATACATATAAACTCAATTATATATTTATTATTTGAAATGTAATGTACTTAGTTTTATAACAGATGTATTTAGTTGTCTCGCAATTTTGTCAAAAGCAATAGTTAACCAAATCATATACTCGATTAAGAAATCAAATATTTAAAAATGTATCAACATGACATCTCTACGATATCAAATATGTAACATTCAACTAACTTCAAGTTGATGAATTGAAATAAGTAACATTTAACGCTCTTCGTTATTGTCTTCGACAGAAGGAAAGGTATTTTCACTTAATCCTATTTTCAATGATTGAGCAAATGTTTAGACAGTTGAATTTTTAAACCAAATCGTTCGCTGGTTTTAAAATAAAAAGTAATTAGTTCTTTAGAATTGTGAAAAGAATGTAATGGTGAATTGAAATGTAAGATATTTCAAATAATTGAGTTAAATATCTTGTAATAATGTGCTATAGTATTTTAAATATGTTCATCTCACTATGGAAATGAACATTAATATTTTTCCATATTTTAATGAATAATATTTCGATTTTTATGGAAAAGCCAGATATTCGAAAAATGTCAATATTAATTGATTGGATGTATTTTAAATATAAAATGAAAATTTAATTTACATATATATATATATATATATATATATATACGTATATATGAAAAATCAACGATATAAGTAGAATATGAAATCATAATTGTACATCATAATAATACATTATTAAATTAAATTTTTATTTAAAATTAAAAGACAAATTTACTTCCCATACTATCTATACTTTTAGGAATAGAATTGGGTGAAAAATATTTTTAATAACGTAAAAAAGGATGCACTAAAAGTCACAGTAACGAATGAATATTGCAGTTGAAATATATTGTCGCATTTAAATATAGGGACAACAAGAACAATTATTCTCTTGCGGATTTCATTTATACTTAACAACGCGTACGGCCATGAGCTTTTCGCCGCATCTAAAAGCTCGGTGGTCGAAAGCTTTCCGCCAAAGCCACCAAATTCACGTTCCTCCAACTGAGGTCGACTCCCTAAATAAAGGCAGACGAGGATCATCGATTGCTCATTAATGTATGCGTACAGTCTCAGATAATAAACAGTCAGAGCCAGACTACGCAGGCATTTAAGTACCGAACATAAAATTCCTCGCAATCGTTCGACAAGCCCGTGGAAAAAGATTTTCCCGGGCCTGGCCGTCGAATCGCATCCGTCGGGGCGACAAGCGTCGCTCGAGCCCACGGGCCGCATTCTACATTCGTTATCGCGAAATTAGCATGCGAATTTCGCACCACACCCCCGCGCGCATTACCCAAACCACGCCAGCATCATTAATCGGGATTTACGATGATTTGCAAGAGGGGATGCACGATCAAAACGCGAGCGTCAATCATCGGGCGGGGGTGTGGTGCGTGGGTGCGCGAGTCGTCAAAACGCGGCACCCACATGCCCGCACGCACATATCGAATTGAATGCCTGACGTGACTGGACTTCGACCGCGCCATTCGGCTTATCGCGGGAGCGTGCACGTGCGACTCTCGGTACAATGGAATTCAAGAGCGTCAATCGGTGATGAAATTTCAGAAGAGGAAAAAAGCCTTGGACGAGGCGACGTGAAGTTCGAGTGGGCAAGCAAATTTTCCTAATTGGTCTCTGGGGTTGCGAGGATACGTGATTGTTGCGAGCAGGAAAATTTCGCTTGCGATGGCGAGGGGCTGACTTTGTCTAGGCTAGGAAATCATATTTTGGACAAAATGTTGTGTTTCTGTGCTTTCGATCGTTTTTTTCTTCTTCTTCTTACTTTTTATGGTTTCTTTTACTTTACTCAAACATTGACGCACATCATTGGTTTCGAGCTATTAATATCAAGAGAGGCATTGTATTTTGTCAATATATTTTGCTTAACATTTACTTAAATACATGAGAAGTCATAAAAATCCCATCCTCTCTCATTCACTTAAATTAAGTTCATAAAACACTCATCTAAAATTCTTAATCAGATATGAAAAAAAAAAACAAAAAATAAAAAAAAAATAAAAAAAAATCATTACCTTGTTTTGAAAGAGACATATATTTATTCATTATTATAAAATAATTTAGTCTCTAATGACTATCAATAAATTATCAAAATTTTTATTATATAATTATACTGACATAATAAAACTTCAAAATCAGCAATGTAAACATAAATTTTCATAATCATTATATAAAAATGATTAGATAGAAACGATCGATTGTTTAATTCGAATATTTAATAGCTGCTTTCAAATTACAACTATCACTGTCTATTCGGTGAGAGGTCAAACCTCTAATGAATCAATTTTTCATGATAACTAAATCACTTTAGACAATTATTTTTTATAGATAATGTTTAAATTTTATAAATTCTTGAAAGATGCAGTAACTCGTAATTTAGCGCATTTATTTTAATTCACAACGACGAAACAATTGTATGTGTATGATAAATAAATCGAATCTCTCTGTAAATACAGGATTGGTGATTTAGTGAACCGAAGAGAGGCGAATCGACAGAATAGGTAAATGATCGAGAAAGAAAAACAATCATCATTCTAAGTGTCGCCAGTCGCCAAGTATTTAAAATTGTTTTTCCAGTTTGATTAGAATATATATGCTGAAAGATCAACAACAACGACAACAAAAATCAGTGAAATAAATGAAATTTATTCATTAATCATTGTTTCATAATAATAAAATAATAATTTATTTCTCTGATAATTGCAATGTCTTTTTGACTCCATTAGTCTTCAGTACGCGTAATATGATGTATTATTTAACTTAACGTCCATTGAAATCAATTCAAAAAGAAACAATAACAATAAATGGAGACTGTTGGTACAAACCAAAATTTTTATTTATTTTTCACAATATGAGCCATTGAATTTACAAAACCTCACGCAGAACATATTGCTATATATACATTGTAACAAGTACTTTAAACTTTTTATAACTATTATTTATGGCATTAGCATGTTATATACGTCACAACAACAAAATATTGACTGAGTATTGATAGGGTAAGAGAGCCGATGAAAAAAAGGAAATGTTTTACAAATACCGGATGCACTCCAGTTGTTGGTTTGTTCTACTTCCGTGCGTCCCTGTCTCTGTCACAATATTTTTTTTTTTTTTATTTTTGGCTTTTGCTTATCTCGTGGACGGCGGATAGCATAGTAACGCGAAACTTGGACATTTCGGTTCGTTACGCGGTTCACTGATTTTGTACATTTAACCATTGATTTAGCATTACACGAAACAATAATAAAACAATGTCAATTAAAATTATTTTTATATAAATTTATTTTTATTATTCATTACGAATATTTATGCGATAGTTTACAATAACAATTTTAGATTTAATAATTGAAAATAGAATTTTCGATTTCAATTTCTCGTACGTGACTTTTATTATGTACTTTATTATATCCCTAAATTGAAGCGTATTTCGTAATTTACAATAAACAAATACAGAACAATTCATATATAATGGCAACGATGTATCAACTATATATCTACATTATGTACTTTAAATAATTAAATGTAAA